CCAGGGTGCCCAGCAGCAGGACAGTGGAACGGGACGTGGTGCCAGGGGCAAAACCAGGCGCTCTGCTTAGGATGGGGACATCTGGAACAGCAGCGTGTTTGTTTGTTTGTTTTTTAAGATTTATTTATTTGTTTGAAAGGTAGAATTACAGAGATCAGTAAAGCCAGAGAGAGAGAGAGGTCTTCCACCTGCTGGTTCACTTCCCATATGGCCGCAACGGTCGGAGCTGCGCCAATCCAAAGCCAGGAGCCAGGAGCTTCTTCTCTAGGTCTCCCACGCTGGTGCAGGGGCCCAAGGACTTGGGCCATCTTCTACTGCTTTCCCAGGCCACAGCAGAGAGCTGGATCGGAAGTGGAGCAGCCAGGACTCGAACTGGCAACCACATAGGAATGCCGGCACTGCAGGTGGCGGCTTGTCCTACTACGCCACAGTGCTAGCCCAGAAACGGGTTCTAAAAAGGTGCCATGGGAGAAGCCTGCGACTCCTACTTCCTTCCTTAAACTGTCAGTCTCTGGGCTGAGTGGCAAGAGGTGGCATGTCTTAGGCATCATGCCAGAGGCTGATGTGGCAAGAGGAGGTGGGGGGAGAGCTGCCAAGAAGGGGCTGAACTCCAGCAGAAAGGGAAAGAGGCCGCAGGCCTGAGACGGGAAATGTCAAAGCTGGGCATTGCAATGATTATTTAATGAAAAGAAGCCCATCCATCTCTATTATGAAACTGTCATTTAAATTGGGACAGAAGGGGTGGGCACTGTGTTGCAGTGGGTTAAAACCCCAGCATGCAGCGCCTGCATCCCATATGGGCACCAGTTCAAGTCCTGGCTGCCCCCTTTGATCCAGCTCTGCTATGGCCTGGGAAAGCAGTGGAAGATGACCCAAGTCCTTGGGCCCCTGCATCTGTGTGGGAGACCCAGAAGAAGCTCAGGCTGGCGCCGCGGCTCACTAGGCTAATCCTCCGCCTTGCGGCGCCAGCACACCGGATTCTGTCCCGGTTGCCCCTCTTCCAGGCCAGCTCTCTGCTGTGGCCCAGGAGTGCAGTGGAGGATGGCCCAAGTACTTGGGCCCTGCACCCGCATGGGAGACCAGGAGAGGCACCTGGCTCCTGGCTTCAGATCAGTGTGATGCGCCGGCCGCAGCGGCCATTGGAGGGTGTACCAACAGCAAAGGAAGACCTTTCTCTCTGTCTCTCTCTCTCACTGTCCACTCTGCCTGTCAAAAAAATTAAAAAAAAAAAATGAAGAAGAAGAAGAAGCTCAGCAGCCAATTGAGGGGTAAACCAGTGGATGGAAGACCTATCTCTCTCTCTCTCTCTCTCTGGCTCTACCTCTCTCTGTAATTCTTTTTTTTTTTTTTTTAAGATTTATTTATTTATTTATTTGAAAGTCAGAGTTACACAGAGAGAGAAGGAGAGGCAGAGGCAGATAAAGAGAAAGGTCTTCCATCTGCAGGTTCACTCCCCAGATGGCAGCAACGGCTGGAGCTGTGCCAATCCAAGGCCAGGAGCCAGGAGCTTCTTCTGGGTCTCCCATTCAGGTGCAGGGGCCTAAGAACTTGGGCCATCTTCTACTGCTTTCCCAGGCCAAAGCAGAGAGCCAGATTGGAAGTGGAGCAGCCAGGTTGCCAATTGGCGCCCACATGGGATGCCAGCACCGCAACCGGTAGCTCTACCCGCTACACCACAGTGCTGGCCCCAATGTAACTCTGTCTTTCAAAAAATAAAAATAAATAAATTTTGTGGCCGTGTTGGTTTAGTGGATTAAGCTGACAGTTGGGACATTCATATCTGATTCCAGAGTTCCTGGTTCCAGTCCCACTTATTCCGTGCTTCCAATCTGGCCTCCTACCAATGTGCTCCAGACCCCTGGCTTCAGCCTGGCCCAGCTCTGCCTGTTGTGGGCATCTAGGGAGTGAACCAGAAAATGGAAGATATCTTTCTGTCTCTCTGCCTTTCAAATAAAATAAAAATTTTTAAAAATTAAGTAAGGGGGGCTGGTGCTGTAGCATAACGGGTAAAGCTGCCGCCTGCAGTGCGGCTTTACCATATGGGCACCAGTTCGATTCCCGGCTGCTCCACTTCTGATCCAGCTCTCTGCTATGGCCTGGGAAAGCAGTAGAAGAAGGCCCAAGTCCTTGGGCCCCTGCACCTACATGGGAGACCTGGAGGAAGCTCCTGGCTCCTGGCTTCAGATTGGCGCAGCTCCAGCCCTTGCAGAACTGGGGAGTGAACCAGCAGATGGAAGACCTCTCTCTCTCTCTCTTTCTGCCTCTCCTTCTATCTCTGTGTAACTCTTTCAAATAAATCTTAATTTTTTTTTATTTTTTATTTTTTATTTTTTTTTACTTATTTGAGAGAGAGACAGAGTCAGAGAGAGTTCCCATTTGTTGGTTCATTTCTCCAAATTCCCTCAACCAAACCAGGAGCTGGGAAGTCAATCCAGGTCTTTCACGTGGGTGTGGGTGGCAGGACCCAATCACTTGAACTAACAAAGCTGCCTCCGACAGTCTGCAATAGCAGGAAGCTGGAATCAGGAGCCAGTCAGTGTGGAAGCCAGGCATCCAAACTGGAATTTTAACCAGTAGGCCAGAGGTTGAACCCAGTTATTATTTTTTAAAAAGAATATTTAAAGTACTTTGAAAAGTTGGTGGGGCTGGTGCCGCGGCTCACTTGGCTAATCCTCCACCTGCGGCGCCGGCACCCCAGGTTCTAGTCCCTGTTGGGGCACCGGATTCTGTCCCAGTTGCTCCTCTTCCAGTCCAGCTCTCTGCTGTGGCCTGGAAGGCAGTGGAGGATGGCCCAGGTGCTTGGGCCCTGCACCGGTATGGGAGACCAGGAAAAGCACCTGGTTCCTGGCTTTGGATCTGCGCAGCGCGCCAGCCGCAGCGTGCCAGCCGTAGCAGCCATTTTGGGGGTGAACCAACGGAAGGAAGACCTTTCTCTCTGTCTCTCTCTCTCTGTCTAATTCTGCCTCCCTGGCCCTTGTGGCCATCTGGGGTGTGAACCAGCAGATGGAAGACATCTCTCTCTGCTTCTGCATAACTCTGCCTTTCAAATAAATAAATAAATCTTTCTTCAAAAAAGATAATTGACAGATATTATGGCATTAAATCCTTAGATAATTCAATATGCATTACTAAGACAAACATATAATCCTAGTATTATCATGCCCTCAATTTCAATCATTCTTTAATATTCAAATTTTCTCCCGTTCCCCAGTCAGTTTTTTCAATCAGTTTGTTCAAAATAGGACCACATTGCACTCAGTTCTTTCTTACCTCTCTCTCTCTTTAAGATTTATATACTTATTTGAAAGCCAGAGTTACAGAGAGAACAGAGAGGGAGAGGCAGGAAGATATTCCATTGGCTGGTTCATTTCCCAGATGCCATGCCCAAGCCAGGAGCCAGGAATTCCATCCAGAAGTTCTGCGGTTTTCCCAGGCACATTAACAAGGATTTGGATTGGAATTGATAGTTTATTATTATTATTATTGATTGACTGATTGATTTGAAAGGCAGAGTTACAGAGAGTGAGACACAGAGATCTTCCATCTGCTGATTCACTCCTCAAGTGGCCAGGGTCAGGCCAAGCCAGGAGCCTGGAACTCCATCTGGCTCTCCCACATGGATGTCAGGGAACTACGACCTGGGTCATCATCCATTGCTTTCCCAGGCACATTAGCAGGGAGCTGGATCCGAAGCGGAGCAGTCAAAGACTCAAACCAGTGCTCAGACACATGATGCTGGTATTGCAGGTGGTGGTTTAACCTGCTGTGCCCCAACACTGGCCCCTGATTTGGTGTTTGTTTTTTAAAGATTTATTTTATTTATTTGATTAGTAGAGTTACACAGAGAGAGGGAGAGACACGGAAAGAGAGATCGATTTCTATCCACTGATTCACTCCCCAAATGGCCATAATGGGCGTGGCTGGGCCAGGCCAAAGCCAGGAACCAGGAGCTTCTTTCGGGTCTCCCATGTGGGTGCAGGGGCCCAAGCACTTGGGCCATCCTCTGCCACTTTTCCAGGTGCATCAGGAGAGAACTGGATCAGAAGTGGAACAGCTGGAACTTGAACCAGTGCCTAAAGCTGGTCTGTTTTTGATTTTTAAAGATTTGCTGGTTCATTCCCCAGATGGCTGCAATGGAGCCAGAACCTGCATCTGGGTTTCCACAAGGCTTTCATAGGAGATGCTGGTGTTGCATTGCTGGTGGTGGCTTAACTGGCTAAGCTCCTGGGCTGCTCCATTACTGATCCAGCTCCCTGCTAATGCACCTGGGAAGGCAGTAGGAGATGGCTCAATTGCTTGTGCCCCTGCCACTCCTGTGGGAGACTCCCAGATGGAGTTCCAGGCTCCTAGCTGCATCCTGACTTGGCCCAGCCCTGATCGTTGTGGCCTTTTGGGTAATGAACCAGTGGATGGAAGCTCCTTCTCTCCACCCGCCCCCACCTCCCAACCTTCACAAAGTTTAGGGAAATGGAGTTAACAGGATCAGACTTTTGGGTTAAGACATGCTTGGGACCCCTGCGTCTCCCAGCAGAGTGCCTGGATTTGAGTCCTGGCACCACTTCTGATTCCAGTTTCCAACCCAGGTACCACGGCTCAAATACTTGAGTCCCTGCCAACCCTGTGGGAGACCCCAGTGGAATCCCAGGTTCCTGGCTTCGGCTGACCCAGTCCCCGCTGTCCGGAGCATTTGGCCGGCAGATGGAAGATCTGTCACTGTGCCTTCCAAATAAAATTAAAAAAAAAAAAAAAAAAAAAAAAAAGCTGAAATCTATGCATAGGTGAGGTCAAGGAAAACGCACATTATAAAAAAACTATGCTTGGATTTCGCAATATTTGCATCATCGTACACTCTTTCAATTCCATTTCCCACTTCTGTTTTGCCTCCAGATGTTCCTAGTCTTGTGAGTGGATGACGCAGAGCGCTTCTTCCTGGAAGGCTCCCAGGGCGCTTTGTCCAGGCACCTCCTGTGGCCCGCGGCCGCGGACGGTCCCAGGACCTTTCCCCTCCCAGCAACAGCCCGGGGCCAGCTTCCCCCCCCCCCCCCCCCGGGGCGGTGGGGTGGGGGGAGAGTGCAGAGAAGCCCGACGCCAGGGCTCCAGGAGTTCCCGCCGGCGGGGCGGCACCGCGGCAAACAAGCAGGGGTTTGCACGGCGGCCGAGCCACAGCGCCCAGCCCCGGCCGGAAGCTGGGGGTGGAGAGGCCCAGCCCGGCCCACACCAGTCCTCCAGCTCCGGGCAGGGCCCTCCGAGGCCCCGCAAACCCCACCCCGTTCCTCTGGGCACCTCGTGGCCCAGGCGTGTTTGTTTACCAATCCAGCTCCCTCCTCCCGCAGGCCAGCCCTGCGCCCGCCCCCGGGTGGCCGGGGTTCCGTGGGAGGGGGCAGCAGGGCCGGCCCCCGGCCGGCTCCCCTCGTCCCCCCTCCTCCCCGGCCCTCCCCTTCCTTCCTGCAGCCGGTGCCGCGCGCGGGCGGGCGGCTGCTCTCCCCAGATCCGCCGGGGCCTTGTGCCTCTCCGGGGACGGGCGCGCTGCGGGTCATGGCGCTTCGTTCTGTGCGCTCTCGGTTCTGGAGGGAATGCAGGGCCGCCTGACCCAGGAGAGGAAGACGGGGAAACCGCCTGGGTTTCGGTTAGAAGGGGGAACTTCACGTTTGAGTGGCGGGCCCCAGGTCCCCGCGCGGCGCGGTGGGGCGGGTGAGGGGGCCTTTTTCCCCACCGCCTGGGGTCTGGGTGTTTGGGGAAGGGAAATGTTTTTTGATGGTGATGCGTTTGTTCCAAACTGGAATCCCCAGGGGTCAGATTTACTTAACTGTCCAGAAAAGCTCTCTTCTTCTAATGTTTTTGGGCTGTAGGCTGGCCTCTGGCCCGCCCTGGTTTCCCTGAAGGCCGGGGATTGGGGAACTGAATGAGTCTCTGAACAGTTTCTCTTCCTCGGGCCGCCCCCACCTCCATGCCTCAGACCACCCTTGCTTTTATTGGGCACAGGATCTTCACATCCCTGAGGCCCTCAGCGGGCCTTAGAATCCGAAAGAATATTCGAGAAGGTTGGGCCAGAGTCAGCGTCCAACAATAACTGGATTGTCTTGTTCACCATCCCCCCTCCAGCTTTCTCTTCCTCCTCCAGGGCCTTCAAGACCCCCAGAGCCAGTGAGAACTGAATGCATGCCTGGCTAGTACCAGGTACAGTGTAGGCAGGCATCAATCACGCAGCTGCTCGCAGCCAGAGACAAAGACAGCAGAGGCACAGAGTGAGTCATTCTAAGTAATGATAATAATTACCGAGACTGTCTGCAGCCAGGCCTGCGTTCTCACCAGTTCTGGGCTTCCCAAACAGAAGGAAGCCCACTTGTTATTTTCTGTTTATAAGATTTATTGTATTTATTTGAAAGACAGTTACCGAGAGAGGTCTTATGTCCGCTGGTTCACTCCCCAAATGGCCGCAAGGACTAGAGCTGAGCTGATCTGAAGCCAGGAGCTTCTTCCTGGTCTCCCACATGGGTGCAGGGGCCCAAGCACTTGGGCCACCCTTTGCTGCTTTCCCAGGCCCATTAGCAAGGAGCTGGATCGGAAGTGGAGCACCCAGGACTTGAACCAGTGCTCACGCGGGATGGTGTCAGGCTGGGCTTTAACCCGCTGGGCCCCTGTTTGAGTTCTTTTTTGGATTAAGTTCTTGCTTTTTTTGCAGCTCTTTAGGATGTATGTGATGTTACTTCTGTTACACAGGAAACGACCACTAAGGGGCTGACCCCAGTTCTTGTCTCAGAGAATTCCCACGCTGACAAGGCAGTGAGCAAAGCAAGGTTGAGTTAACATCTTCCTAGGAGTGGAGTCTAGAAAAGTGGAGTCTTTTAAGCATAATTCAGAGAACAATCAAAGGGCCAGGACAAAACCCATCAGAGGCCAGAACTGTAATCCTGTCTAGCCTGCTCCAGATAAAACAAAAAAGCCATCAGCAGGGTGGGGTTTGTAGCTACTTCTTTGTGTTCTCCTGAAAAAACTAGGGTGGGATCGGCACTTTTATCTCGATATTTTATCTTGCTAAAGACAGCTTTTGGAGAGAAGCATGCATTTTGTGTACTCTTAAGGGACTCCCCCTTTCCTCATTTCAGCAGGGACCTGACCTAACTTTTATGAGCTCATCTAACTCACACATCCTTTTTTTTTTTTTTTCTCAAGGAGACTGGCCTGACTCTAGATTTGAAAAATATATAAATATATATTTTTAAATTTACTCATTTTTACTTTATTTATTTTTATATTTATTTGAAAGACAGTTACAGAGAGAGAGAGAAAGGTCTTCCATCCGCTGGTTCACTTCCCAAATGCCCACAACGGCCAAAGCTGGTCCGAAGCCAGGAGCCAGGAGCTTCTTCCAGGTCTTCCACATGGGTGTAGGGTCCCAAGCAATTGGGGCATCGTCCACTGCTCTCCCAGGCCATAGCAGAGAGGGGGAACAGAAGAGGAACAGCTGGGACTGGAACCAGCACCCGTATGTAGCACTGTAGGTCAGGTCTTTAACCCACTGCACCACGGCATCGACCCCTAATTCACCTATTTTAAAGGCACAATGAGAAAGAGATCTTCCATCTACTACTTTGCTTCCCAAATAACGACAATAGCCAGAGGTGTGCCAGGCTGAAGCCAGAGCCTACACTCAATCCATATCTACCATGTGTGTGGCAGGACCCCAACTAGTTGAGCCATCACCCACTGCCTCCTTGGTGTGCATTACAGGGGTGGAATCCAGAGCTAAGCTGGTATGTGAACTCAGGCACTCAGATGTGAGGGGTGGGCGTCCCTAGCAGCTCGTTGAACCATTGTGCCAAATGTCTGCTTGAAAAACTATTTTTAATATAAAAAGCTTTTAAAAAGTTTCAGAGAGAGAGAGAATCTTCCATCCACTGGTTCACTCCCCAAATGGCTGCAACAGCCAGGGCTGGGCCAGGCCACAGCCAGGAACCTGGGACTACATGCAGATTTTCCATGTAGGTGCAGAGGCCCAAGCACTTGGGCCATCTTCCGCTGCTTTCTCATCCCCATTAGCAGGGAGCTGGATCGGAAGTGGAGTAGCTGGGACTCAAACCTGCACCCATGTGGTGGCTTAACCCCCTACACTACAGCGCTGGCCCCCTGGCTTAACCCCCTACACTACAGCGCTGGCCCCCTCAAAAACTTGATGCGAAATAGGGGCCAGTTTATGACACAGGGGATTAAGCTACACAGGCATCCCATTTTGGAGCCCCAGTTCCAGTGCCGGCTGCTCCACTTCCAATCCAGCTTCCTTGCTAATGCCCTGGGAAAGTAGGGAGCGATGGCCTGAGTACTTGGGCTCCTGCCATCCATGTGGGAGACCAAGATGGAATCCCTGGCTCCTGGCTTCAATCTGCTTCCTCTCCCCGCCTCCCCCCCCCCACCCCGTCTTTCAAATAAGTACATAAATGTTAGACAAACTCCAGTCTTGATCAGAGAGCTAGAAAGTAGCAGTGAGAAGGGTGTTGAGACTTGTGAGAGGACTCTTACTTTTCTAAACTTCCTTTTTCCTAGAGTAGGTAAGACGTGTGGAAGAAATTGCAGTTAATCTGTTGTGTACTTACCAACAGCTGTAGTTGAAAACTGAGAGAGCAAATGGCAGCCATGGTTTCGGGGGAGAAGCTGGGAGACCCAGAAGCAGCTCCTGGCTCCTGGCTCCTGGCTCCTGGCTTTGGATCAGGACAGCTCCAGCTGTTGCGGCCATCTGGGGAGTGAACCTGTGGATGGAAGACCTCTCTCCTCTCTGTACCTCTGCTTTTCAAATAAATAAATCTTAAAAAAAGCGGGGATGGGGAGAAGCTGGGGGACCGACGTTGTGGCACGGTGGGTTAAGCCACTGCCTGTGTCTCTGGTACCCCATAATGGCCTGGGAAAAGCAGTGGGGAGATGGCCTGAGCCTTTGGACCCCTGCTACCCACAGAAGAGACCCGGATGAAGCTTCTGGCTCAGACCTGGCCATTGCAGCCACTTGGGAGTGAAACAGCTGATGGAAGACCTCTCTCTCCATCTTTACCGCTATCTGTGTAACTAGGATTTTGAAATAAAGAAAAAAATTTAATGGAGAGATTGGAATCACTTGTTTGTGTGTTCAGTTTGAGAGGCTGGGAGACAGAGCTTCCGTCCATGCTCGCTTACTCCTTAGGTGCCTGCCGTGGCTGGTGCTATGCCGGGCAAATGCTGGAAGTGGAGCAACTGGGATTTGAACTGGGAAGCTGGTGTCGCAGGCAGGAGCTTAAGGTGCTGCAGGACAGGCTGCCTCTTACCCAGCTGTTTCTAATGGAGGTGTGTGAAGGGAAGATGCTGTTTAGAGTCTTCAATACCCGCCGGAGGTAAGAAGGATTTCATAGAAATCACTCTTATTAAACATAAAAATAGGGATGGCATTGTGGCGAAGCAGGTTAGGCAGCCACCAGTGACACCAACACCCTTATGAGTGCTGGTTCAGGTCTTGGCCGCTCCACTTCTTCTTCTTCTTTTTTTTTTTTTTTTTGACAGGCAGAGTGGACAGTGAGAGAGACAGAGAGAAAGGTCTTCCTTCCGTTGGTTTACCCTCCAATAGCCGCTGCGGCTGGCACACCGCGCTGATCCGAAGCCAGGAGCCAGGTGCTTCCTCCTGGTCTCCCATATGGGTGCAGGGGCCCAAGCACTTGGGCCATCCTCCACTGCCCTCCCAGGCCATAGCAGAGAGCTGGACTGGAAGAGGGGCAACTGGGACTAGAACCCGGCACCCATATGGAATGCCGGTGCCACAGGCAGAGGATTAACCAAGTGAACCACGGCGCTGGCCCCTCTCTGTGTAACTTTTTCAATTAAATAAATAAATAAATCTTAAAAAAAAAAAAAAAAAACAAAAAACTAGGCCTTTATTCGCATCACTTGGGATAAAATCAAACCTATTTTCCATTTCCAGCACAGACTAGCTCAGATCCATGGTGAAAGCACAGGCTTGGGAATTAAATAGAATCAAAATTTAACTGAAGTATCTAAGCCTGTTTCGGTCATCTGTCCCAGGAGGTGCCAGTCTCTTCAATCTGTAGGAGTTAAGTTAGATAACAGATGTGACATGTTTGCAGTACAGCTCCACAGAGTCAGCTCCTCTCCCCGCCACCCCCAGCAGGGTTAGGTGTGGTCCACTGCTGCATACACTGAACAGCCGTGAGTAATACCGTTTCTTCCTTTCCAGGAAGTTTCTTACCAACGTGTTTCTTAAGCTCATCTAGGAACCCATCACTTGAAAACACTCGTTCTCAAGCCCCACCCCAGAGATTCAGATTTCTTTGGTCTGGGGAGGGGGGGGTCTAGGAATCTCCCCGATATTGTCTGAGGAACTGCTGACACAGGGAGAGGTAGCTGATGGTAATCTGATAACACTTTATAAACAAGGCAAGGCGATGGCGCCCTTTTGAGCTGACCTGGGAGGAGAGGCGGGACTTGTCAGGGGCCAGAAGGTAAAATCAGAAAGGTATTTTACAACAAAGCCAATCTTATTAAGCCTATTTACATAAGGCATTGTTGTATTCACTTAAGGACTTCCCAGCAAACTCTCTGGGACAAACTTCTGGGGACCTACGACCCAGAAGCTGTGCGATTTCTGCCTTCTGCCGATACACTTTTAAGGCACCTAACACAGGGGCCCAGACCCTGGCCAGGGCGGCAACAGCCTTGTCTCTACCTGCAAGTCTTACTAGGAGGATCCAGATAGTAACACCCGAGAACTTGTAATGAGGTGCTGTATAATAATGAAGTGACTCCACGTTAACGACCCAAGTGCTACAGGGAATGACCTCATCGTGTCATTGACAAGCCATCAAGGCCCGGGGAAAAAAGACAAGATGGAGGCCCGCAATTCAGGTGCGCCGGGTGAAAGCTATTACTTTTGTACAAAAAGCCGGAGCTCGGCTACCTTGCTTTATGCTTCGTTTGCATTTACAACTAAGGGGTGGGGTTTGGAAGTGGCTTCTAAGACCCCGACCGTGCGAGGTTCCCCCATGCACTTCAGCTTCCAAGACGAATTCTCGAAAAGTTAACCCGCTGAGCAGCTCAGTGTTGAACGCCTTTGTCTTAATAAAATGGCGTTTGCTGGAGTCTTATAAAGACCTTGCAAATCGGTCAGCTCAGTCACAGCCGATTTCGTGAGCGCTGTCGCCAGGTCTCGTCCCTCCGGAACTCCCAAGGGTTTCCACCCACATCTGGAGGCAGCCGCCCGCTGGCCACCCACCCGCGGAGGGGAGCGGCGTGAGAGGCACTTTTCCCTCCTCCTTATTCCACCCCCATATATGAAAACCAAAACGAGCCCCCGCGGGCGAGGCACAACTACGCGCCGAGTGTCCTGGTTCTGCCACTTGTTGAGCTGCAGGGCTCTGCTGACGCGTACCACCTAATCACCGTAAAGACGTCCCCAGAGGAGGGCCAACATGGCGACGGACTTCTCTTGGCACAGCCCAGTTCCCTCCCTCATGATGGGAGGCCCAAATAACACCCATTGCCCAATTTGGAGGCGGTGCCAGACTCACCTCGCTCCCTCATTGGCCTGAGTAACTGAGGGAGAAGCCAATTCACCTCTGCCCACTCTAAGTTCCCGCCTACAGAGCCCACTCGGAATTTAATTGGTTTTTAGTTCACGTCAATATGCGTCCTCTTCCGTCTCTTTTCAGCATTTACCCAATCATAACTTTCCTGGCTGCCCGCCTGATTTCTGATTGGCTATGATCAGCTTCAGCCCAGCCCATTCCGGGCTATTTCTTACCTCTCCTCCCACCAGGACTTTGCCCAGGCACGTCCCGGATTGTGGTTGGTCATTGATGTGTCATTTCTATCGAAGCTCTTCCTATCGCTACCTCTCAGGGATCCCGCCTGCTGGCTGACTGGCTTATTTCCAAGCCTATCATCTCTAGCGCCCGCCTACCTTCACTTCCTGCATTCTTCATTGGCCTTGAAAATTGAGGGGGCGGCCTTTTTGGGCGGATACCAGGCATTCAACTTTGTCTTACACGCCTCAGGGAGCGAGTGAGTATTGTCATTGGATAGCCTGCCCGCCTTTCTTCTCCAAGTCCCTCCTTTCCCCCTCCCTCATTGGGCGGGGCAGCACTGAAGGGGCGGGGCCCAGGCTGGGCTTGCGGCGCGCTGCTCCCTCCTCCTTACCCCCCCCCTCCCTGTCCGGTCCGGGTTCGCTTGCCTCGTCAGCGTCCGCGTTTTTCCCGGCCCCCCCCAACCCCCCCGGACAGGACCCCCTTGAGCTCGTCCCTCAGCTGCCACCATGAGCGGTAAGGATGAGTCCACTCCACGCTGAGGGGTGGGAGAGGAGTGAGGGGGCGCGCGCGAGGGCAGACCGGGCGGTCCCCGCCGTGAGGGGGGGCGGGCGGGAGGCGGCGGCGGCGGCCTTGGTCCCGCCCGGGGCGGAGGGAAGGGAGGGAGAAGGGGCAGTGGCGGGGCCTCCGAGAAGGAGGGGGATGGGCCGCCCGCCCCGGGGGAGGGGGCAGCGTGGCCTCGCCCGCCCCCTGCCCGCCCCGGCCACGGGGGGGACGGCCTTACCCCCCACAACTCGGCCTCCCGCCTCAGGCTCCTCCCGTCGGGGGGCTGGAGCCGCGGGGGCGGCCCGAGCAGGGCAGGCCCCGCCCGGGCCAACCGCCTCCCTGGTCCGCCCTCCGGTCGCCGCCTGCCCCTAGGCCCTCCTCCCCCCACTTTCCGTAGACCTCCCCTCCCCCCCAGCGTCCCGCCCTTTCCACGCCCCTCACCCCGAAACCGCCCTTTCCCTCCAGGGCCCGCCCTTTCCCCGCCCCGAAACCTTCTGATTGCTCACTCCTGCACCCCTTTATCCCCTTACCTGTGGTCCCCAATGGTTCCCCACTCCCGCTTACCGTTTCTCCTTCCCCCCTTTTCCCCTGTCTCCTCTCGGTGCATTTTGTACTTGGATTTTTTGCCTCCATCGCTCTTGTCCCTAATTTTAGCAAGCTTTCCATCCACCCACATGTTGTTTGGCCTTACCTGTCCTGCTCCTTTCTACCCCCAGGACACGTTTTCTTATTTTGAAACCCTTTGTACGGGCCTGCGTGGCCTATTCCCAGAGCACCTTTTTCTGAGTTTAATTTTTGTGCAAGGAAAACCTGAGGCCAAACTTCGTGGCCGTGAGCCTGGCTCATGACACATGTGCCTTGCAGTTCCCCCCTGCCCCAATGCATTTTCTTTGTACTTCCTGTTAGTCACTGCTGTTTCATCATAGCCTTCTGTAAACTCTCCTGCACTCTATCCACCCCCTCCTCCCCTTCCCCCACGCTAAGTTGTTTTTTCTTTTTCATTCTTTTTTTAGACCAAGATCACTCCATGGATGAAATGACAGCAGTGGTGAAGATTGAAAAGGGAGTTGGTGGCAATAATGGGGGCAATGGCAACGGTGGCGGTGCCTTTTCTCAGGCTCGGAGCAGCAGCACGGGCAGCAGCAGCAGCAGTGGAGGAGGTGGAGGCGGGCAGGTGAGTGACAGCCGGAACTGGGGGCGGGGAGGTGTTGAGAGGATGGTTGTAAATACTCGTAGAAAACTGGCTTACTCTTCCCAGAAGAGTTTTAGGAGAGGATTACATTTTATAGATGGGGAAGCCAGCGCAGAGACTCAAGGAACTTAGATTCGCTAAAGATGGTAGTTTGCAGCAGTACCGATAGGACCTCCTTTCTGTTTTTGGGTTGGTTTTTCCCCCCCTTTTTAATCTTCATTGTGTTGCTGTTTATTTGTTGTATACTGCCCCCTAGGCTGGTGGCTGGGTGTCACTAACTCCTCTCATCTCCCCCTTTCTGGCCAGGAATCCCAGCCATCCCCTTTGGCTCTGCTGGCAGCAACTTGCAGCAGAATTGAGTCTCCCAATGAGAACAGCAACAACTCCCAGGGCCCCAGCCAGTCAGGGGGCACAGGTGAGCTTGACCTCACCGCCGCACAACTTTCACAGGGTGCCAATGGCTGGCAGATCATCTCCTCCTCCTCTGGGGCTACCCCTACCTCAAAGGAACAGAGTGGCAGCAATACCAATGGCAGCAATGGCAGCGAGTCTTCCAAGAACCGCACCGTCTCTGGTGGGCAATATGTAGTGGCTGCCACCCCCAACTTACAGAACCAGCAAGTTCTGACAGGATTACCTGGAGTGATGCCCAACATTCAGTACCAAGTAATCCCCCAATTCCAGACCGTCGATGGGCAGCAGCTGCAGTTCGCCACCACGGGGGCCCAAGTGCAGCAGGATGGTTCTGGTCAGATACAGATCATACCAGGTGCAAACCAACAGATCATCACAAACCGAGGAAGTGGAGGCAACATCATCGCTGCTATGCCAAACCTGCTTCAACAGGCTGTCCCCCTCCAAGGTCTGGCCAATAATGTGCTCTCAGGACAGACTCAGTATGTGACCAACGTCCCGGTGGCCCTGAACGGGAACATCACCTTGCTACCTGTCAATAGCGTTTCTGCAGCTACCCTGACTCCCAGCTCTCAGGCAGTCACCATCAGCAGCTCGGGGTCCCAGGAGAGTGGCTCACAGCCCGTCACCTCAGGGACGACCACCATCAGTTCCGCCAGTTTGGTGTCATCACAAGCCAGCTCCAGCTCCTTTTTCACCAATGCTAACAGCTACTCCACGACGACTACCACCAGCAACATGGGAATCATGAATTTCACCACCAGCGGATCGTCAGGGACCAACTCTCAAGGTCAGACACCCCAGAGGGTCGGGGGGCTGCAGGGGTCTGATGCGCTGAACATCCAGCAGAACCAGACGTCTGGAGGCTCCCTGCAGGCAAGTCAGCAGAAGGAGGGAGAGCCAAACCAGCAGACACAGCAACAGCCGATTCTGATCCAGCCTCAGCTAGTTCAGGGGGGACAGGCCCTCCAGGCCCTCCAAGCGGCGCCGTTGTCAGGACAGACCTTTACAACCCAGGCCATCTCCCAGGAAACCCTCCAGAACCTCCAGCTGCAGGCTGTTCCAAACTCTGGCCCCATCATCATCCGGACACCAACTGTTGGGCCCAATGGACAGGTCAGTTGGCAGACTCTTCAGCTGCAGAACCTCCAAGTTCAGAACCCACAGGCCCAGACAATCACCTTGGCCCCGATGCAGGGTGTTTCCTTGGGGCAGACCAGCAGCAGCAGCACCACCCTTACACCCATTGCCTCAGCTGCCTCCATCCCTGCCGGCACAGTCACTGTGAATGCTGCTCAACTCTCCTCTATGCCAGGCCTTCAGACCATTAACCTCAGTGCGTTGGGTACGTCAGGAATCCAGGTGCACCAGCTCCCAGGCCTGCCGTTGGCCATAGCAAATGCCCCAGGTGAGTCTTCGAGTCTTTTGGAAGTCTGCATTTATAATGAACTAACTAGCATAGCAGCTGAAACTATGGAGTGGGAAGAAGGGAACAGCGCCTTTTGGGCTAACACTTGCCCCAGGGCTGGTCAGTTAGAGAAATAGCAGTGCTTCTTTTGAAATCATGTGGAACTGAATTAACAGAAACTTTTCAGTTAATCTGATGTGAAAGGAGCAATTCTGGGCAATGTCCTGAGGTTTATGTGCTTCCCAGTCTCTGGTGTTGCAGGAAAAAGGTTGAAGAAGTGTCTTTTTGTTTGTGTGTTTGTTTGTTTTTGGATACAAGGTCAGAGAGTAAATATTTTGGGCCTTGTGGCCAGCATATGATCTCAGTCACGTACTCTTTGTTTGCGTGGTTTTTTTTTTTAAGTGTTCATTTTAATTGAAAGGCAGAGAGACACACAGAAAAACAAAGAGATCTTCTATCTGCAGCTTCACTCCCTAAAAGCTTGCAAAACCTGGGGCTGGTCAGGCTGAAACCAGGAGTTGGGGCCTCTATTCGAGTCTCCCACATGGGTGGCAGTGGCCCAAGTACTTGAACCATCATCTTGCTGCCGTAACAGGAAGCTGGATTGGAACAGTGTGGAGCAGCCAGGACTTGAACCTGCACTTTGACACGGGATGGGAGCCGTGGCTTAACTAGCTGTGCCACAGTGTCCATCCGTTTGTGTGTATGTGGTTTTTAAACACTCCTTTGAAAATGTAAAACCGTTCTTAATTCTATGGACTAACTCCTGCATAGGATACAAATTGATTATGAGCTTCATCTGTCAGGTTTTTCTCAAGAACTGTAACTCCTAATCGAGGGGAAAGTGATCTAACGAGTTCCAGAAAGTTTTTCAACAAAATAAGTTCCCCTGGTTAATCTGTCGATGACTGCAAGCTTGTCAGTCAAGCTTTCATCTTTTTCTTAAACTCATTTATTTTAAAAACAGGATTTCTCCGCCTCACACTAATACGTATTTTATATAAACTTCCTAGGTGTTTGTAATGCTTTCTAGGTGGAGACTGCGTTGAAAGCACTGTGGATGGCTGAGAAGAGAGGAAGAACGAGGCGAGGGGAGGGGTGGGATTGATAGGAGTTAGGAATAAGGAGAGCACTGAAGGGAAAAAGGAAGAGGTATATTTTTAGAATGCATTTCCAATCAGTTGACCACATATTCAGTCTTTAATTTAGAATTATTTTCATTATTGCTTAATTTGAAATTTAAAATGTCCATAAAGTAGAAGTGAAAGGATATTTAGAATTTATCACTTTAAATTCCATCAAATAGAGCTAATCCTTAGTAAAGCACAATAAAAGGATCCATTCACTTAGTTTTATGTTCTAGCATAATACTAAGTATGCTGGATGTAATTTTAATACCACCAGACTTCCAGTTTTGTTGAAATATATGTGAGTTTTAAAATGCAAGATATAATTCACTTGTTGAGTATCATCTTAACTGTGTAAAAACAGATGCACAGAAAATAAGTGGAAAGTAAATTAGAGAAATTTATGTGGGTTTTTGAAATCTTTACTTTCGTTACAGACTTCTCATTCCATTTATCTGTCCTTATGTAAGTGAGGAACAAACAGGCAACCATATTTACTGCCTCCTGCGGTTTTGGAAGCTCTATGGGAAGAGTTGGCTCAAGTTCTCTTAACTTCCTTAAAATGTTGTGATTTGTTTAAAATGATTACATTTTGAGTTTTTTTTTTTTTTTTTTTTTTACAATATTTTGAGTTTTAACGAGGCAGTGATTTTCTTAGTGAATTGGAGATACTGGAGTGGAAAGAGCTTGGGACCTAAGCAGTCCTATAGTACAACTCCTTTCTTTTTCAGATGAGGAAGTTGAGGTACTGAGAAGCTTTTAAGTGATACGCCAGAGCTGAGATTTGTGGTTGGTTCTCCTGGTCTGAGACATTACCTGTTAATTTTAACATGGGACTCTGGGAAATCCTTTCGATTGTTAAAAATGTTTTAGAAAAGGTTTGTTTCTTAAGATCCAAAACTCTATAGAGATGACAGATGTTTTGTAGGATTTATGGGTGTAGATGTGGGAACATTTTTCTAAAAACTGAACTCAACAGTCTGGAGAATTAAACACTTTATGGGTAATCTACACCAGCATGTTTGTTTTCTCTTTGCTCTTAGGTGGTTATTTTCAGAAGTTTTGCTCGTCTTCAAAGGAAAGCCAAGACTGGGATTGTAATAGTTAATAATTTGAATCTTTGCAATTTCTAAAAGGTTTATAACTTGGGCTGTAGAGACCCGTTGAGACTTTCCTGTTGCTAAATCATGCTCTGGGGAAGTGTGCCACTTAGCATGTCATAGGATAGGGCTATAGTGCTAGCTGGTTATTTTTGATGGCCTCTGAACTCAAGAGAATGAACGCGTTTCTGTAAGGGATTAGCAGTTTTTCATTCACAGATGAGAGGATGAGGCAGTGAAAGGCCATTTTATGAGAGTTAGGGTTATTTGCTTCATTAATAGTGGTTTTTCAGATACATTTCCTTCTTTCTAGCTAATCAGTTCTGCAACATTTTTGTTCCCCTTTCATTGATCTGACCCTTAGTGAGAGATAATAAATTGTTTCCTGGAAGCTTAGGCTTTTCTGTTGTTCCCTGGCTACTACAAATTACCTTATTTTACTGGAAAAATTCAATCTCTTAGTAATATGTGCAGCCTCTTGGCAGTATGATGCCTTCACTGGATGTGAAATCAGATTATAAGCTATGGATAGTATATATCTCTCAACAAGATGAGGTGTTACTATTACATGGTTGTGGAAGACCACAGCTTCCATGGTGTTCACTTAGTTTAAATTTATTATTTAAAAATAAATTTATTATTACTTTTTAAAGTAATCTTTTAAAAATCTTTAGGCTCTCCCGTTGACTTTTTTATTCTGTTTGTGTTTGCCTAATACATAAGCAAAGGCACAAACTTAGAATGAAAATAAACTGAAAATAAACCAGGTACTGCTGTGTTTTTGTTTTTCCTGGCTCTGCCCTTGGTGGGTGGTAATGAGGCAAGGACCACCCAGTGAACTTAGCTTACTTTCCAAACAGTGAAGTGATCTTAGTATTTTTTTAAAGTCATACTTTTTTTTTTTTAAAACCAAGACCCTTTACTCATATTCTCATGGATCTTGCTGGTTGTTGTTGTTGTTATTCTTGTTTGTTTATTTTCAATTTAAAGTTTCAGATTTTTTTTTCTCAGCCACTGCTAAAAACTGAAAAGTCTTGAGTCTTGCTCAGGTTGAGGGGTGGCGGGCTTTGAAAGATTGAGTTTGGATGACTTCTTGGGAGTTCTGCCTAATAAAGAGTACAGGGCTGGGCTTTGGCAGGAGAACAGAACATATTTCTGTGATGGCTATAATTCACTCAAGAAGCAAATTTTAGGTACTAAAAATAAAAATTTCACATCTGTTGGGTTTTATTGGGGTCAGGAAAACGTCTTCTCTTAGAAGTCAAGTTGAATGTGATATAGGGCTGGTTTGCCAAGTGTCGCCAAGCTTGGGGTCAGATTGCTGAGGCCTCATTTGTTAAAAAGCTGTGTTTTAGACTAGTGCCATTGGACATTAATGAAAAGGAGGCTTAGATGATTAAAATCTCTTCAGAATTATCATTTTAGTGAAAAGGTCATATGAGAATTTTGTAAGTTAAAGTAATATTCTTTATCAAATATAACATCAAACATGTTTACATCTTTTGTCCTCATTGTAATACTTGTTTCTTAGGGTGATGTTAGTGTTTTTTAAAGTAGTGACTTAGATTTAAGTATGGAAGATCTTGTTTAATACCTAGGTGCTTTGCAGATTTGAAAATCAGTGGGCTATGAGAAGAGTCTTCAGACATTTTCAGTTGCTCCTATTTATTCATTCTAGCAGCTTTCACTAAATGACATCATTGTTAAATCAAGTTGCCTTGTGTAATGTGGCCATTTTAGTTCTTAATAAAATAGCAGCACCAGCATTCCTAGTGTTTCAGAAAAGCTTACTATCTGTTCTTCTATCTTTTCCTTGTTTGGTTTTGTAAAGGAGCATGTAATGTGTCACTAATAATTGAGTTCCGCTCATACCTTGCTTCTAATTAGTTTTTTTCTCTCCTTGAGAATGTTTCAGAGTGTTAAGGTAGACATAGTAGAAAAGCTTTGTTACATAGAGCTTTTTTTTTTTTTTTTTTTTTTTTACATTTCTGAGGCTCACAATATTTTAATAAGTATATATATTCACATTTTACATAGAGCTTTATAAGTTACTTATTGGGTAACTGTCAGCATTAATATTCAATAGTTGAATTTTTTTCACTTTGCTGTTTAATTGAAACACAACCACATCGCTTTTCATATTTCCTACAGAAGGTATGTATATCACAAGGGTACTGTCCTGTTCTCTGACATTTAGATTCTTTTTTTTTTTTTTTTTAAGATTTTTTTATTTATTTTACTTCAAAGTCAGAGTTACACAGAGAGAGAAGGAGAGGCAGAGAGAGAGAGAGAAAGGTCTTCCATCTGTTGGTTCACTCCCCAGATGGCCGCAACGGCCAGAGCTGCGCTGATCCAAAGCCAGGAGCTTCTTCCAGGTCTCCCACATGGGTGCAGGGGCCCAAGGACTTGGGCCATCTTCCACCTCTATCCCAGGCCATAGCAGAGAGCTGGATTGGAAGAAGAGCAGCCAGGACTAGAACCGACACCCATATGGGATGCCAGCGCTTCAGGCCAGGGTGTTAACCCACTGTGCCACAGCGCCGGTCCCTAGATTCTTTTTTTAAATAAGTGTGTGTAACTACACTGTGACTATATTGTTAACACTGTGCTAGGTTTTAACAAATTGTTCCCTTAGAAAACCCTGAAAAATTTCTGTAGAAAGATTTTGAGTGATTCAGAGTTTGTTGAGAATCTGGGCTGTAATTTAAATTTGTACTTTTGCTATAATGTTTTTTAGGCTTATGGAAACTGGGCAGTATTACTTGTTTGACAT